CTACACAGCTGAAGAGGGGCGATTTTATGCTTTAACTTTGCCACTTTTTTTGGCACTCCTGCATGGTGGAAGAGCATCATTAATCTCAAATGTATTTGATGGATGCCCCCACATTTAGAAATTTCTGGACTATGACCAAGTTTTGAGGAGGATTTTATAACACGTCTGTATAATTAATTTAATGAACAGATTTATATTTTGAAAATGGTGTTAATATTTGTGATTTATATCACAATGAAGATGCATCGATGGAGCTAAGGAAATACTTGGGACAAGAGACTTTGTCATGATCAAATATAAAATTCCATTAGGAATCTATATTGAAAAGGTGATGAGATCTTTAAAAAAAAAAAACACCAAAAAAAAAACAGAAGAAGCTTCAATATTGAAATCAGATTATAATTAATTATTCTAAAACTCATATTTGCAAAGTTTACATCAGTCATAATCTAGAATACTTTTATGCTCAGCAAGAAATTAGCTTGCATTCAACAACTTTTTGACCAATCTTGTGATACCTTAGAGATATCAGTGAAAGAAATTGAGCAATCATTGATATTATAAAGACATTCAGGTCATTTATTCAATTTGACATGTGGCATTTCTAGGTATTCAAAACTGAAAGGATATATCCGGAGATGACACAAATTAGAAAAATCTCAATAATTACTTTGGTTATCTCTAAGGCATTGCCAGAGTGTTTTGGGAGCCCTGGAAAAAGATTCTTTTTTTTTTACCCCCCTCCACCCTTACTATGAAACCCATTATTTTCAGCATTTAAAGACCATCATCCAATGTAATAGTTCGATATGCTTGTCTAAAATACCAAATCCCATTAAAAATTAATTCAGAGACCCTAACAACTACACATTTTCTGAAAGTACACTGAATAAGGAATCATATGGTATGAAAAAAAAACTTTATTTTTATATGTAGGTTGATATTAACCTTGACTTGTAAACTGAGTAAAATTATTCTACTTGTTAAGGACTTGAATGTATATTGTGATTGCGTGTTATTTGCAGAGTATTTGGGTAGATGTTATAAAATGTTTCATATTTTGTGACTATTTTGTGGAAAGGGGAAATGACTTATTATTATTGTGAGTGTTGCCCTTGGAGCAATGGCAGTTGAGATCTAGTTAATACGGTATTTTAATATTAATAATCAATGGTTTGTGAAGTTAATATAATTAACCCCTGGATGGAACGAAGCCAGCAAACCTTTAGTAAGAACTGGGTTCGTAACACTACTCAACTTCTGCATTCAACATACCCCATTACTCACTATTTTGTTCTATCTTTCAGTACACCAAGTTTTTGAGATGCTTAAAGAAATATCTTAATGACCAGGTTCTTTTGTGAAGAATGTCATTTAGATGAATTGTTTAATTCATTACCTTCAAATTTCTTTCAAACAAAATACACAGTTAACATTGTCAATATCTGAAATTGACTAGAAAAACTCTTTATGAAATCACAGGTGTCATTTTAATGCATTTTCATTTGAAATAATTCAAATAAAGAAACACTTTGTTGATTTTGCAATATCAATCTCCATCGACAGTTATCATGGCAGTCCAAAGAAAATTGCACTGGTTGCAAAACAAGCCTTCATAAAAGCACATGTTTACACAAGGATAGAAACGGAAGTGGGAAGACAACTCATTTCTATAGAGTGATTTTTCACTTTTGCCATCATAAATTAAATTATTCGCATTTAAATTATAATTTTACTAGCCGCTGATTATATCGACCGTGAGAGAGAGACATGATAGTCGGTCGTTGTGACAGTTGTATTTTAAAAATAGGGACATCTTTTCCACTCCGCCCCCACCCCTCCCAAGGCCACGCCTCCAGGATATCTTATATGATTTTGCATATTCAACATAATCAAGCATCATTATTTCCTGTGTTTTGACAAGGCAGCTTACACAACATATTTTAATTGTTTAAGGCCTTGCTCAAATTGTTCTTCTCTAATTCAAAGTTATTTCTCTTGTATATTTGTACTATTATAATTCAATTCATGTATTCTGAATAAAATATGTTATCAGAGCAAGTCTTGTGGCAAAAAATGTTTTTACCTATGCCACTTTTTAATTGTATCTTCAGAACCCAGATTGTTCATGATACTGGTATTTGTAAGGATAGTGTTCCACTGGGAAGCATTAATTTATCCTGGACAAAAGACAATTCTTAGCATATACTGGGCTCTCAAAAGCAACCTGCTATCCAAATATTTATTATCCTTAATTTAAATATATTGACTGTATTTTGTACTTAGTTTATAGGATGTTAGTTGCAGGGCTCATTCTACGGCTACCACAGTAACACATAGACTGTCTGCAACCAACAGGAAAGAGGAATGCAAGGAAGACTAGGAAAAAAACAGGGAGGAAGGCATTCTGAAGAAACCTTGATAAGTTGGAGCCTTAACAAAGTTGAAAATGCATTGGGTGCAGAGCAAAGACTTAGATATCAATAAACAATATATTAATGAACTCATGAAGCATTCCTGAAATACTTCAAACAAGAAGGTTGGTGCTGGAAGGAATAACACAGGATGTAACACAGAAACACTGCAATGCAGGCAGTAAAGTAGGAGGAAGTATGTTTAACATCACCCTAACTTGTGCACATGCTCCAACCAAAGATGCAGATCAAACATCAAGGAAACTTTGTATGAACCACTTGATAGGATATTTGATGGCGCACCACGCCAAGATACCATAATAGTGATTGGAGATTTCAAAGCAAAAATTAGGGGAGAGCATGCTTACAGGCCAACTATCAGAAAGGAGAGTCTGTTTATAGGCCAACTATCGGAAAGGAGAGTCTGCTTGAGAGCAGTGACAATGGAGTATGTCTGATAGACTTCGCTGTAGAAAAAGGAATGACGATCAGCTGTACAATATTTCATCCAACATAAACTAATACATAAAGTGACGTGGATATCACCAAATGGATTGACTCTTTATTGATAGATTACACACTCATTGATCATGAGTCATGGCTCAGACATATTACATGTATGAAGATTTAGTGGGGCAGATGTAAAATCCAACCATGTCCTTGTAAAAAAATTTAATATAAACAAAGAATATGTTACATCTACAATAAACAAAATAAAAAGACAAACTGAAAATTCAAACTCATTTAGAATTATCTAAAAGGGAAATGGCCAACAACATCAATAGAATTGAGCAAAGGGGAAAACAATCGGGGGAAAAAATGAAGTAAATTGTTAAAATGTAAGAGGGGAAACAATTAGATTTAAAAAGCATAGGGAAAAGAACAGGATGTAAGGCGCAGAATGCCGGGATATTGCAGAAGAAAGAAACAAGGCTCCGCTGATTATGCTGCAAAGGGAGACAATAAGTACACAACACTTATATAATAAAACAAGAAAATTTGTAAAAAGAAAAAAAATGATTGGGAAAAGTACAAAAATTGTAGATGTAGAAGAGTTGGAAAAAGAAAGATGTAAAGGGAATGTATCAGAAGACAAAGAAGAAATAAAACGACTTTGAAGTAAGATCATCCATAAATGAGCTCAATGAAATACTGATGGACGTGAGGAAAGGATAACAGGCAACAGCTCATACAAAACCGCCTACAAAAGCTACTAGAAAGCAGTAACCTGTTCAAAAAATGGGCACGGAAAATTCTCAGGAAAATATATGGTGTTTGCTTATGTTGGGACTGAAAATTGAAGATCCATCCATTGTGGCAGCAATTAAAAAAAGGCAGGCAACACTGGACAGGTAACCTACCTTAAGAGTAGGCCAGATTATGGAGCAGCAAAAGTGGTTTACAGGCAGAAACCTAAGGGGCTCACTGGGCATGGAGATAGATAGATAATGTTGTGGATGAATATCAGCTGGGGATTCACGCACGGAGATAAAAAGCCATGGATTGATCCCAATGGAAGGATGTGGTGGAGCAGGACAGAGCCCTACAAGGGTTGTTAGCACCACTGATTATGATCATAATGCCATTATGATTTTAAAAATTTACTTTTGAGTTTAAATTAATTTCAAGTCATTTCAGTGATCTGCTATCATTTCCCACAGTTTATTCCCCCTTAATGATGGCGAACTTACAGAGGTCTACCGTACAACTCAGTACAAACCTGTGGTGAAAAAAAAAAAAAAAGCTTCAATACTATCAGGTGTGGATGGACAAGGCTGTTGGATGTTAGTTATAAGGCTCCCTAGAGAACTTTGATTGGGATACCTTTATAAACAATTATCCAGACCTTGAGGAACTGATATTGGATAAAACAGTGGAAACAAAATTGTACCCCAAAAAATGCACACGCGATGCATTTAAGTATAACAAACCTCAGATGAGAAAAGATAATAAAGAAGTCCCACATTATTAGTAAGAAAAATTGGAACTAATAGTCTTATAACAGCCACCACTGCTAAAAGAAATGCTTGAGGAACAAAGAAATCACAAGATGTGTCACAAAGTCTAATTACTCTAATACTTTAGGATGACAGCAAATTTATGAAGGACATCAATGACCAGTATGCTGTTGGTTTAACTGACATGTTTTTAAAAATGTTCATGCTAATGTAAATTTAGTTAACTCCAACAAACATGATTCAATATCATTAACCGGCCAGGATGTGCTACCTTCAATTTCCACAAGAGAAACAGATGATTCAGCACAAAACCTGTTACACTCTGTGCCGAACAGCCAACCTTCAACCCGGGACTGAACAGAACAGACTTTGCAAACCTGGTCCGCACAAATATAACAAAAACCTTCATGTTCAACTTCGCTTCAGGAAAAACAAGTCTCAACTTTGGGAAAATGTAATCTGTCTCCCTAAAGTAAGTCTGGGAACTAACAGATTTCAAAAACATCCATCACTTGCTTGAACAAAACACTTTTCACATCTTGGTCTTTGACCAAAGAGAGGTGATCTTGCACCACGGCACCCACATTTTTCAGCACCACCTGCTCTACAGGTTTATTTACTGTGCTGACCGCCGTGGTTCCCTTGGTGCCAGTGACAGATCTGATCCGTGACATCACGTCCAATGCCGACACTTGAAGGATCTGGGCAGCTTGACCATCCACAACGTAGAGAAGACTGCAGTAGTGGCAAATGAAATCTGAGAGGACTTGTATGTCACTAGGCTCTGCAGCAACAAGGATCTGAAAATATGTATGTGTTGTGCCTTTACTTGAGTGTACAGTTCAGTCTTCACATGAAATAAGCTAGATTCTACTTTTGCCATTCATTTTTCTTATACAACATATTATGAAAACAGACACTGGTCCCTGTCCCCCATAGACAGCGACGAGGCCATGACAGGCAGTTCCGGCTCATAACTGCAAGAACTCAGGACAGGAACTGCTCATTCCTGCCAAAGACCATCAGGGACTGGAACAAGCTTCCAAAAAGAACAGTTGAGGAGACAACACTTGATACATTTGCGTCCATTGCCTCCTGCCTTCCAACCCCCAGTTCCTAACATCATCGCTGAGTAGCCCTTGCAACCCGTGAAGTATCCTCTTCAAAACCATGCACAGAAACATCACAAACCCCCTCAACAAACACAGGAGCCAGAATGATCAACACATTGATCTTGGGCCCTCAAAATGTAGAAGAAGGAATGAATCCCTAAAAATAAGCTAAAAGCTAAAAATGAGTTACATTACATCCACCTTTATAACAAGCAGACCAAGTCTTCAAATAAGAAGACAACACAAATGAGCATTTAACACTGACAGTAAGTAGTGAACATTTTATGTACACCTTTTTTTTGTATACTGAATATCCTGTTTGGAGAAAAACTTTAAATATCAGTTGCAGGAGCCGTAAAAAGTAGTGACATAATTCAAGTATTGAATGCCATGACTGGAGCACTGCTTTCATGACAAAATACAAAACTTTTAGTTTCACTATAGAGCTACCTAAAGCCTACATACCTGAGAGCCCGCCTGATAGTTTGTCACAATATGGCACAGCGCTGCATCAGACATAGGATTCATGTTTAACAAGAGCGTTGCATCCGTCAGTAGCTGACTTGTTTTGAGACACAACCTGGAGTCTGAACAATAAAGTACAACAAAGCATTAGCCCTTTTGTAACATCAAATTTTCATATCATGAAGTTTTTTTTAGGGCCACAGTTCCAAAAATATTCAGATTTTAAAGGTCATATCTTTTAAGAGCTTGTAACTATTTTTTTTTTACAGTTAAACTAGCATATAAATAATTGATAAAATTTCAAAATTGCAGGAAGTTTCAGAAAATGCTAATCAAAGTATGTGGGTTGCTCCACAAGTAAGAAAATTGAGGGGAAAAAATGGAACAAAATTTGTTTAATTCTAAACAAAAACTGTAACAAAATATATCTGAACAAAATGCTGTTGATACAACGAACAAAGCAGCTTCGCCAAGCAACTCTAGCTTTCCATTACTTTTGATTTAACCTGAAGACAGTGAATAATTAACTAAATGATCCTCTCTCGGTTAATACAAATATTATTATTATTAGCTTTATTTCCTTTCACCAACTTGAAAGATGAGAAATTTTACATACGCCGATTAAAAGGATTAGTCACCTGATAAAATCTAAATTTATAAAATTAATTTCAAGTAATCATATCAAAATAACAAATTTTGTTAAAAGCTTAACAGTGACGCAAAACAGATATCACATTTTTGAGCCGATGAAGTGTGATGCTCACATGTCAACTCACATGAAATTACTTACACAACAATAAATGCAGCAATAACAAACTCTTGGTAATGTTCAACAGTGAACCCAATTAGAACGAGCTATTTTAGTTTATATTTGAAACAGAAGAGATGTAGCATAATGAAATCAGAAGAGCTTTTCAACATTTTAAGGCATTTCTTTCAAAGCTTACTATTGGTCGGTGTGATTCTATCCAAATCCTGATCTTGTGCCTGAGACATAGATTCCTTTTGGTTGCTCAGAAATACTGTCAAGATATTCAATAGTCTGTGCATCTCGGAGGGTAGTGACACAAGCAGAACCTACAAAATCATAGCACTACATAAACAAACATCAAACATTTGATACGTTAAATAAAGTAAGAAGGCTTTTTAGATATTTTTTTTCTATAGCTACCCTTTGACTTTACAATATTTTAAAGTCTTTTCTTGTTATCATTGGCTGTTTATTTTGTTAATAAACATAAGCTATAGTTGAAATAATCCAATGCAACTATTCATAAATACGGAACCAAATAATATATTCTTATAACTAATATAACCTTTGAAGGTACAAAGTTGAATTTTTTTGAATGAGCAGAATTTTACAGAAAATATTTACAGTAACCACATTTAAATCAAATATTTTCATGGCCTTTGTAAGATACACTAGTCCTTTGACTTGTAACATCAAATAAATCTTACCTGACTGACAACTGTTAACAAAGTGCTGGAACCAGCTGTGAATTTAGTGTGATTTATAACTTGTTTTACTTCCATCAACATTTCATCATTGACTAGAGCCAGCTGTGTTAACAAAACTAACATTCTGACACCTGACATTAAAATATAAATAACAAGTTAGTCAAAGTAAGGATGGAATTTATTTACGAACAATTTTGCTTCAGTTTTTAAAAAACCATACTATAAAGTAGACTTAATTCTATACCTACTGGAGTAGTTTTAAACCTAATTATACATCAGTGCCAGAGAAAAAACTATTAGAGTTGACAAAGAATGACCGATAATATAAAAACATATGGCTTAATAGCCTACATTTTGTATCAATGGGAAGAAGAATGAAAGTAGAATCAAAACATAATACATTTCACCCATTTTATGAAGTTTGAGTTGAGTGTCATGGAAAGCTCATAATCCCCTCTAACACGAGTATGCATATTATTCACCCCATCAATTTTCCAAATTTCGTTGCTTATGATTATAATTTTATTAAAAAGAAAGTAGAACGTTTGGTGCTTCACAGTAAAAATAGGGGTTGAGCAGCAAACTTAACAATAAGATCACATCATCCTTTTACTGATGCATTGGCTCTTGGTCAGTAAGGGTCAGTTTTGTGGGCAGATGCAGCCGCAAATAAGCAAAGAGACAAAGATATTTCTGAAAAGTTTAATTACTCATTAACATATAATTAAATTCTATCCATCTACCTTTTCACTTGTAGCTATATGGCCGGTAATACTTACCATTTCTTTCTATCAACATTAGTTTTCTAGTAAGAGCAGCAAGCATGGAATGCATCTTTTAAGGATTGAAAGAAAAAAAAAATTAATCAAATATTATAAAGACATTTTTTAAAAACAAACTGTAAAACTGATGACAAATTAGACACTCATAGATGTTAAGCATGTAAAGCGTAGCAGCTGGTAATATGCCATTCAGTGAAAGAAAAAAAATTGTAAAATCAATTGTAATAGTTTCCTAACTTTTGAATGCATGGAGCACACAATTCATAGCTATTAAAAATAAGGAAATAAAGCAAATATTTAAAATTGATTACAAATTAGAAACTCATAGATGTTAAGCCCCATACAGCAAAGCAGCTGGTATTAAAATCAATTCTACTTGTTTCCTATATTTTGAATGCATGAAGCACACAAATTCTTAGCTATTAAATAAGGAAGTGAAGCACTTATACAAATTTATACTTTATTCTAATACCAGGAGAATGTTGCCCAAAAATAAAATGAGCTTTACCCATTTTCTAAATGTTTTAACAGGATGGGCCTTATGATTTAAAATAAAATATTTACCTCAAGATCACAGCAAAGATCAAGTACAGGTTTGAGCAAGGCCACATACAGCCATCCAGACTTAACTGCTATTGATTTCAACCAACAAAAGCTGGACTCTGAAAGAAAGGCATTTTGGTTTTAAGTTTAAGATGAATTTTGAGGTATGCCTTAACTTTGAAAAAAAAAAAAATGCGAAATTCATAGATATGGATCAATCCTCCACTAATCAAATTATTTCCCCACTCAATGATAATTTAAAAACAAATGTGTAGCAACTCAACTTTTCAATGTTTATTATTTTAAATTTTACTACTTCATATAATTAACTGAAATAAAATTTGAAAGAGTTTCATACTCTTGGATACAATTTGCACTCGACATCCTTAATATTTTGAAGGATGCTTTTATTTTTTAAAATTAGTCATATCCACAAATAGATGCAACAATTGATCAATGCCAAAACCAATCCCCAGGAGTACATTTTAATTGAAGGTGTCCTATGTTAAATAATGAAATTTTAGAATTTAGAAAGAAAACTTATTGTATCTTTCCCTAATGCTAATTGCTGAAAACTATACTAACTTATGAAAACAAGAAGGTATGGTCATAATGAATTAATTTTGTTTAAGTATACTTTTGTAACATTAATTTTCCCAGTTTCTGAAAGCAGCCAGGCACTGGTGGGCCCAGATAGTAGTTACACCATTGAATTCCACGTAATTGGTATAGAGAATTTTTACCTGGAAATAATTTTGGGTACTTTGCTATGGCTGCTGAGAGAAGCAAAATGCATTTCTGTGAGGCTTGTTTTAAGGTTAGCTTGACTCTGTTCAATTCATCATTGCAAATGATCACATAGCTCTCGACATAGAGATCAGCGAGTACCACCAGCAGAGGGAATGGTTGAAGCTGAAGGTGAAACAAAAGAAAAAAATAATTTTTAAATAACATTAAAAAAGCTTTGCAAGTAGTAAAAATTTAGTTTTATGCAAGAGAATTTAATAATAATAATAATAAAGTTCATTTCAAAAACACGCTTCATCCCCAAAGGCTCGAAGCGCGGTACAAAGTCAACAAAAAACATATCTATAATTTACCACATTTAAAACAAACGCAACACTACAAAAACTAATTACAAGCATACAATCTCAAAGTCTTTCTAGCCATTTTAACCCGGAGCAACACAGCCATTATGCATTAACTGGAAAATAAGGTAGACAATCATCCCAGAAGGTATTTGCGAAATAGATGTGTCTTTAGATCGGTTTTAAAGGACTCCAGTGTCTGGTTGTTTCTAAAAGGGCGTTCCAAATTGTTGGACCAGCAAATGCGAAAGTGCGCTTTCCGTAAGTCTCAAGGCAAACACGTGGTGTCGAGAGTTTGCCACTATCGGATGAGCGGAGCTCTCTACTGGGTACATAAGGCATCAGCAGCTCTTTCAGATAGGACGGCGCCAGGTCATGTAATTTACACATGAGCTTCACACTAACAGTTAATCTAAGAGCCACCCCTTAACAGCTTAGGGTTTCCTATTAAAGGTTTGAAAATAATTCCAAATATCGAGGAAACAGTAAAACATATTTCCTATATTTTTTAAAGTCAAATATTTTTAGCATGACTTCTTCATTGATTAATGTTATTTCCTTAATACGAACAAACAAAGAATTTCACACAAAAACATGTTCATTCCATACTTACTGAGACTATCACTGATTCATCAATCTTCTCTAGCAGTGCTGCAAGTGCTGGTAACGCTACCTCAGCACTTAAAGGTACTCTACAAGATGTGCTGCGTGTGCCTGTCAAATCACCAACAGCCTTTCTGCCCTCTCCCATCTTGTCCTTGTATTTCAGGCCAGGAAGAATGAAATACTCCAAACTGTCTGCTGGTGTTATAAGGTCCTGAATGTGGACACTGGTGTTGGAATCCATGTCCAGCTGTAAATTGTATGCCTGAAAGTGTAGATTTGTTACTTGTATTGTGGAAAATATTCAGGGAACAGACTCCTACCATAAAGGTAAACACAATGTGTAAGGTTTTAACAGACATTATTAATGTTTGAAAACATATGAAATTTAAAGACAGCAGAAAACTTGTGAGATTAGGTATTGTAAGAATAATAAGGTACCCAACGCAGAGAGGAATATGCAGCCAGACAAAAAAAGGACTCTTGATGAAAAGTCAATTGAAAAAATATACCTGAGGAAGCAATGACAGAAACTGGATTGTGTTTCTTGTTCTGTTGTCATTCATTTCTATGGCAGTTAAGACCTCTAGACAACTTTTGATCAACAGGGACTGTTCCTCATCTTGATGAAGGAACTTACAGATGTTAGGTATTCTTCTAAGGACCTTATGATAGAATCATTTAACAGACAAGTTACTAAATATGCATTGAAAAACAATGCCAGACTAAACAATTATCTCTTTTCCTTAAATAATAAAAGCAAACTTTTCCTTGAGATATTGTGCATGCTTGCTGCTGATGAGAGCATATAAATTTAACCTTAAGTGAAATATGCATTAAAAAATAGCATTTTTGTAAAATTAAAATTTTCTCCAGACTTTATTTATAGTTCTATAATTAAACATTTTAATCTGCTTTTCAAATGTAAATAAATATTGTAAAAAAAAAATGGGGATTACAAAAGAATAGACTCACTTCAACAATAAGGTCAACTTGAGCTTTGTTTTCAATAGCAATGTGTATTGCTTGTTTCAGAACGACTCTAATATTGTATAAACCCAGCAGTAATAAACTGGACATCAACTGAAAAGGCAAAATTTTTATAACAAATTATCAAATACAAAAATAAACACAACATATATTCTTCTAATGCTATTAGCTTAATATTGTATTTCATTTCTTATAATTTTTAAGCATAATCAGTCAAAAATTTATTTGTTTAGGCATTTTTGTATAGCGCTTATCTTACAGCTCTAAGCGCTTTACAATTATTAAAAATATGTAAACTATTTAAACCGCTAAAGTAAAATACAAATGAAAAACCAGAGACACTAGGACATAATTTACCCTGTCAACACTGCTTAAAGTCAGTTTATTCAACAATGGAATCAGCTCAGCTAGTATCTCCTGTTCATTCTTTAGATCATGTAGACAGAGTTCTAAACTTTCATTGCAATTTTGATCATACAATAACAGAACCATGTGTTCTTGAACAGAAGTTGACAAGCGGTGAAACATGATCTGAAACAGCTGCACAAATAATTTGTAAAGAGAGTTGTTGGAGCTTGATTTCTTAGTAGATTCCATATAATTTAGTTTGTAATCTAAGCTAAGCTAAAATAACATTTAATAATATTGAAATAATTAATTCAAATTAGTTGCAACAGCCTTCTTTTTCTTTTCAACTTAAAAAATATGTTGACTAATGTAACAGCGAATAATTTAAAAAAAAGGTTACTAAAGTTTTTTCAAAAATTCTGACTACATTCTCAAAATATACCATATTCTTCTGCTTACAAAATACACCTTTTCCCCATTAAAATATGCCTAAAATATGGGGTGCGTCTTATGTGCCAGTAATAAAATATATTTCATTGAAATTTCAGTCAGTCTAAAAAGGGGGTGCATCTTATACACTGGAAAATAGGGTAGGTGTACTTGATTGGTCCTTGTACCAATGCAATAAAAAGCCATGATGTGAAAGCATACCCTACTCAAGCGGGTGGTTATTTCTAATCCAGGGTGATGTTTAGTGGCCAGGCAAAGGGCTTTTAACACCAGCTTTACATTTTCTTCCCTGCTTACTACTGCCTCATGGTGCCAGACAAGCTCAAAGAATCTGGAAGGTTATAACATTGAAAATAATGAAGAGTAAAAACTCCTATTATTCATTTTCACTTTCTTACCGAAGAAAACTATATTCTGAAAGAAAAAAATCATTTAAAAACCTAAAAACTATCATAGTGACCAACTCCATTTCTGATCTATGGAATGGTTTTGGTAGTTTTATCAATACAAACTTTCACAAATATTTATAAACAAAAAAACATTTTTCTTCAGCATGAAATGTGATAATCATTTCAGACAAAATAATATCACATGTTTTTGTTTAAAAAAGACATCAACCAAATAGAACCACTTACCCATTTTCCCACCAACCTAACATGTCAACATTTTTCAAACCTGAGGCAAGTAAATCTGTAACAAAAATATTGAAAAATATAGGGTCAGGATTTACAATTTCTTTATTTATAGTGAGTTTGAACTTAGAGAAGGTGTGAGTTTGAGCTTCTAATTTGTTAACTATCCACACTGACCAAAAAAAAATAATTAATTATAAATTAAAATTAATTAATCCCCTTGTATATGAAGAAATGAAGTGGGATTAACGCATTTTCTTCTCTTTCAAAAAAAATGTATAGTTATTTTCTTTTATTTTTCTAGAAACCTACCTTGCAGTAAATGATTAATTTTATCATCTTATTATTTAATAAATTATACTTAAAATGTACAATTACAATAGGTTTTTTTTTATTCTGAACAGTAACAGGATGTTGCACTAACCTCTCCATCCTATTTCCTTGCCATTAACAGCTCTCTTGATCATTTGTAGATCTTCTTTTCCAGAAAGCATTCTCCCAGATTCTAACAACAACTCCACCTCTGTCATTCTGAACCTTGCCAAATCCATAAATTCATTGGGCCACTCAAATTTCTTTTGTCGTATGAAGGATATCTCATTTGTGAAGCAGGTTGGAGTTGAATCATCAAGAGTGCCATCAACTATAGACCGTAACTGCTTGACCAGATGAGAGTAAAGCTTCTGTCCACTAACGACATGAAGTCCAAAGTTGATGCCGTCAACAGTTTTTAACACGCCACTTAAAGGCTTATAGAAATAATCACAGGCTGACCACTCACCACGGCAAAAGAAATTAACCAAATCACAAAATAACTTCACGTTATTGAAGGACTTCATAAAGTGTATCATAACATGGCGAGAGCAAAATCCTTTTCCTGTCCCATGGCTTAGGCCCTCTTTGAATTCTTGACACTCTAATAAGTTCACATTTTTGTTTCTATTCAGTGGTACAAGCATCATTTCTGGATCATCATACAAGCTTTGATCCTTTGTTGCAAAGTCATCTTTGCTGGACCCTTTGATCTGAGTCTCTTTATTTTCAAGCTTTACAATAGTCTTTTTTCCTATATAAAAACCATCAAGTGCTTTTAGAGTTTCCTCCTCATTAACAAATGGATCAACAACTATCAGTGACAAGCTTAACAGTTCTACAGTTTGTTGAAATATGGTCACATCCTGCACAAGGTGTAAAAGTACAGGTTCAGAGCTAAAAAACTTCAAAAGTAAGCAGAGACAGCTTTGTTTATGATCAGCCAACATTTTAGCATCTCTTTTAAACTGTTCTTCTTTTTTGCTCTGCATTGTTTCCTCTGTACACATTGACACAGTGCGACAGGAACAGCCTGTAGAATGAAAAACTATTGAATTATAAAATAAATACTAAGAGTTTTTAAAAATTTAATAAAATAGTAACAGTCATTACTTTAACACGTTTTTCTCGTTATTTCAACATACCACACCTACCATATATTCTATCTACTGAAACCAGATCCAGCACAATAGAATCTACTAGTATGAGGGCAGCCAGGAGAAGTTTGATGTGTGTTCCCTTGGGTTTACTGTCCTCCTCATAGTCCTGAATGACATATTCTTCCAGCTTTGCCAAGAATGTGTTGGCTACTGTTAATCTCATGTATGGAAGTGCCTGGAAATACATAAACATTGGAAGCTTCGTTAGATAAGTAATCATACTACTATATACATATGAGATTAAATATTTTAGTGAATAATACATTTTTGCCAATATTATCAGGCTCGGAAGGGTCACTTACTGAGTAGAAGATATAAATAAAAATACAGTAATACAAAAGTGTGAGTTAATTTACAAATTTATATTAATCTAAAACTGATTAAACTAAATTGATTTACATTCGATACTATCTAAGCAGTTATCAAAATAACAGAGTGGCATAGATAGGACTGAGCAAATATTTTAATAAAAAGTCATACTTCAACAAGAAATGTCATCCAGCCCAAGCATTCATCGGTGATCATACCAAAGTAATCTTTGACAGAGACATTGTTTGCAATAGTCAGTTCTCCGCTGTCTCTATAAATGAACATGAAAATTACTTTGAACATTTGTATGCAATTGGTGAGGCTCACTTTATGAAAATCTTTTATTTATAATATGTCATCCTAGGTGGACCTATGCATGAGTTCTTTTCATGTGCAATGAGAAACAAAGCCGAATGAAAAGCATCTCAAAAACAAAAAAAAATGAATGAACTTAATATTAATGTATGAAACATACCCAAAAAAGATTGCTTTGAAGATGGAGTAATGCAGTCTAACAGCTTCAATACCAAGGAGAGGGAGTCCAGCTTTTGTGAGACTTTCTTTGATCAATTCAGCCAGAGATTTCTGTTTACAAGTCACCTATGAAGTAATATTTTTTATATTGAATTATTTTCTTTTAACCATACATGATCAGACAAGAGAAGGGGCTAAAGTTAGTAGAGCTGATCAGCATGTGTATCAGTAGAGAGTTAAGTAGACAGTAGATTCAATAGGGAATGGTGGTAACTAGGACTGTCAACAAGTACCCAGGTATTAAAGTGTGAACAGATACCCGAGAAAATGCCCATAACGGTGCTGCAGTTGAGTTGTATATACACAGTGAATTCTATTTCCACAAAAAGACAAAAATCTGCACTGTG